GAGTGTACTAAAACTAAGTGGAGATAACAAATGGAAACGAGACACTTTTGTAGAAAAGAAAAAAGATACTTAAAAAGGTAAATTATTGGGATGGGAGTATAGATCAGTTGGTAGAGTTCTTGTGTCATATGCACAAGGCCCTGAGTTTAATCCCCAGCACCAAAAAAAAATTAAATTATTGGGGCTGGGGATGAGACTCAGCAATAGCACACTTGGCTGGCATGTGTGAGTCACTAGGTCCAATTCTCAGCATCACATAAAAATAAATAAAAGTCTATCAATAACTAAAAAGAATTTTTTACATTGTTTTATAATTTATTGTATATTTGGAAACAGTTCATATAAAAAACAGTTCACATTAACTGTGTTTATAAAAAGCACAGTGATTTTAGAAAACTGCAAACACAGATATAATGTAGGTCCTTAGTATATTGAAGTCACAGTGATCTGGATTCGGGTTTCTTATGCAAAATACTATCTTAGTTGTATTATAATTTTTGTGTACTTTGGGTCAATATTTATTCATAGGACTAGTAAAGCAAATTAGATAATAAAAAGTAATAAATAGTTATATATTAAGGAAATTTTTTTAAAAAGTAAATTTTTTGTTCATTTGTACACACACACAATAAGTTTTATAAATAAGAGAACATACCCAAACTATACACTAAATAAACCAATTGCATAAATAATATACATCTGAATAAACTTAAGAACTAGAAAAATAATTAAAATGTACTGGTTACCTCTTTTATCCTATTTTTGCATCTCCATGTCATAATTATAAGCATTATTATACAACACCACTGAACTTTCCTTGCAGTTCTTTTGGAATTAGAAGTTGAAAAATACTTATCATTTAAAAGGATAATTTATTGACATTCAAAGAAATACACCAACTAATAATGTATAGAAAAGGATTCTTTCTTTTATTTTTTGTTGTTGTTGTTGCTTTTGAGACAATTTCTTGCTATGTTGCCCCAAATGGTCTTTAAATCCTAATCTTTCATGAACCTCACAACTCAACACAACGGCAACTTAGTGAGAAGCTCAGCAACTTAATGAGACCCTGTCTAAAAATAAAAAAATAATTAAGTTGATATAGTTCAGTGGTAAAGCACCCCTGGGTTCAACCTCCATTACTAAATATAAAAAATTATATACTTCATGGGTCTCAACATCATAGAATGGTAAACAAAAGTTATGTAAAATGGTATTCATATAATAAATACATACATTGTGACACAACCGCTTATACAATAAATGATAAATAATTTAGGTTTGATAAACCCAGTCACACACACCAATTGTTTGTATTAAAGAAATTAATTAATGAACACTTCCACAGGGGTGAAAACTATGAAACCTAAAATGTACAAATATAAATCTTTCACAGGGAAAATGACCTGATTTCCTCTAAAAGCAAACCGCCATTAGAAAATATCAGAAACCAAAAGATGGACCTGGGGGTATAACTCAAGTGATTTGTCTGGCATGCCTGAGGACCATAGTTTGTTCCCCAGCAAAACAATAACAAAAGGGTTGTTACAAATTCAAAGAGACACATTAACCAAACACATGAAACACAATATATTTCTGAGGTGCCAATTTTAACATCAAAACTATTTTTAAAATTCCTTTCTGATTTAGCCAGACACAGTAGTGCATACCTTGTAATCCCAATGGAACAGAAGGCTGAAGCAGAAGGATCACAAGCTCAAAGCCAGCCACAACAACTTAGCAAGGCCCTAAGCAAGTCAGCAAGACCATCACTAAATAAAAATATTAAAAAAGGGCTGGACATGTGGCTGAGAAACACCCCTGAGTTCAATCCCTAATAATGCTCCCCTCAAAATTGTTAACTTAGTGACATTCAGCAAATAATATGATGATCATGTGTAAATAAGAGAACTCTGTCCAAAACTTGGGATATGAAATTCAGAAAAAGTTACAAAATAACACCAGAAGTTAGCTGGCAATTCATTAATATATGGGAAAAATCAAGATCATTATCAGACTCTAATGGACCACTTTTAAGAAATCCCACCAACATATGGAAAACCAAAAATAGCATAAGATATTATACTGTACAATAAAGCCAAAAGAAATCAAGGGAAAGTATCTGTAATAATGGTAAAAAAAAAAGAAATCTGTACCAAGTTGATAATATACTTTGGTAACACTTACTTAAAGAGCTCTCTACCTACTGAAGACTAGAAGCTTTTCCAAACAAATATATTTACAAGATTATACTTTGTTATACTCTGTATAGTGTATTGATATGTACTTACATATCAATTACATATATTTTATTACATATTCAACAGAAACATATATACAAATCTTTGAGGTTAAAATGATAAGGCTTTAGCTCACCAAAATCCATTTAATATGCTAAAATTAAAATTAGTCCAGGCACAGTGGTGCACACTGTAATCCCAGTGACTATGGAGGCTGAGACAGGAGAAATCACGAGTTCAAAGCCAACCTCAGCAACAGTGAGTTGGTTATCAGCTCAGTGAGACACTGTCTCTAAATAAAATACAAAAATAGGGGTGGGGATGTGGCTCAGTGGCCAAGTGCCCCTGAGTTCAATACCCAGTACCAAAAAAAATATCAACAAAATGGCAAATATGGAAATTAAGCAGTTCCTCCTTATTGATATGAAACTTTAAAAAATATTACACTTAGGGGCTAGAAGTACAAATCAGAGGCAGAATACTTGTCTAGCATTCTTAGCACCATAAATTTGGATCTCAGGTCCCCACCTTACCCCCTCAAAATGTGTATATATATATATATATATATATATATATATATATGTGTGTGTGTGTGTGTGTGTGTGTGTGTATATATATATATCCTATCTAAAATGAGTATATAATAGATTAAAGACTGAGAATAAATTATGAAGCTCATTAGCAAAAATATCTGCTTAGCATTCATGAGACTGGTTTCTATTCCCAACAATGAGAAAAATAAAAAAAAATACATAAAGGTACTAGATTGCATCTAAATGTGCAAAAACTGAGATTTTTTTTTAAAAAAATATTTTTAGTTACCAATGGATTTTTCACCTTATTTGTTTATTCATATGTGGTGCTGAGGATTGAACCCAGGGCCTCATACATGCTAGGCAAGTGGTGTACCACTGAGCCATAGACCCCAACTGAGATATTTTAATGAGGACTTTCTTCTAATCAAAATTGAAATACGATATTATCTGTAATTTTGAACATACACACATAATATTAATAATTATTAGGTTATGGTTACTAGATATAGAAAAAATCATTTATCCATTCTCATTGTCAGTGTTTATGGAATAATTAACAGTTCATCAAATAATGAACCTTGGAATTACCTACCATATGACCCAGTAACTGCACTCCTATATGTACATGTCAAAATAATGAAAACACCATTTATTTGCTATACTCCTCAAAATAATATCAACAACAGTGAAGAGTTGAAAATAAACAAGTGTCTTTCAAAAAATGAATAGATAAACACAACCTGTTATACTCGTACAATGGAATATTGTTCAAGCATAAAAAGAAGTTCAAATGCTTCTTTTTATTACACAGAAGAACTTTGAAAACATCAAGTGAAATAAGTACAAAAGTTTCATATGGTGCAACTTTTAGAAAAAGCAAAATCATACAGTGGTAGGAGGAGTCATTTTGGCCGAATGGAGAGAAAAAAATTTTGGAAATAGTAGTGATAGTTATAAAACACCAAGTACAAATAACTTGCTCAATTGTATGAATAAAATTCTGGAAAATCCAATACAAAAACATATCAAAAAGATAGTGTATCATGATCAAGTGGTGTTCAAACAGGGATGCAAAGTTGGCTCAACATACAGAAATCAATAAACATATTTCATCACATCAATAGACTTAAAGATAAGAACCATTTGATCATCTCAATAGAGGCAGAAAAAGCATTTGACAAAATACAGCATCCCCTTCATGTTGAAAATACTAGAAAAACTAGGGATAGCAGGAACATATCTCAACATTTTAAAGCTATCTACTCTAAGCCCCAGGTCAACATCATTCTAAATGGAGATAAAATGGAAAGCAGTCCCTCTAAAAACTGGAACAAGACAGAGATGCCTTCTTTCACCACTTCTATTTAACATGGTTCTTGAAAAAAAACGGCCAGAGCAATCGGACAGATGAAAGAAATTAAAGGGATACAGATAAGAAAATAAAAACTCAAATTAGTACTATTTGCCAATGATGATTCTATACAAAGACCCAAAATTTCCAGCAGAAAGCGTCTAGAACTAGTAAATGAGTTCAGCAAAGTAGCAGGATACAAAATCAACACTCATAAGTCAAAGGCATTTCTGTGTTATCAGTGACAAATCCCCTGAAAGGGAAACAAAGAAAACTACCCCATTTACAGTAGCCTCAAAAAAAAAATTACTTGGGAATCAACCTAACTAAAGATGTGAAAGACCTCTACAACAAAAAATTACAGAACGCTAAAGAAATAAATTTTAAAACACTCTAGAAGATAGAAAGATCTACCTTATTCTTGGATAGGCAGAATTAATATTGTGAAAATGACCATACTACCTAAAGTATTACACAGATTTAATGCAATTCCAATCAAAATCCCAATGACATTCCTCAGAGAAATGGAAAATGCAGTCATGAAATTCATTTGGAAAAATAAGAGACCCAGAATAGCTAAAGTAATCCTTAGCAAGAGAAGTGAAGCAGGTAGCATCACTATGCCAGAACTTAAAACTATACTACAGAGCAATGGTAACTTAAAACTGCATGGTATTGGCACCAAAATAGACTTGTAAACTAATGGTACAGAATACAAGATACAGACACTAACTCACATAATTACAGTTATCTTACTTTAGCCAAAGGTGCCAAAAACATACATTGTAGAAACACATGGTGCTGGGAAAACTAGAAATTCATATGCAACAATATGAAATTAAACCTTTATCTCTCACCATGTACAATACTCACCTGAAAGTGGAGCAAGGACCTAGGAATTAAACCAGAGATCCTGCGTCTAATAGAAGAAAAAGTAGACCCAAACCTCCATCATATTGGATTAGGCACCTACTTTCTTAATAAGACTCCTATAACGCAAGAAGTAAAATCAAGAATTAATAAATGGGATGGATTCAAACTAAAAAGCTTCTTCTCAGCAAAAGAAACAATCAGTGAAGTGAATAGAGAACCTAGAGCTTGGAAGAAACTTTTTAACACATGCACATCAGATAGAGCACTAATCTCTAGGGTATATAAAGAATTCAAAAGGCTAAACACACAAAAAAATAGAACAGACAATTTGATTGATGTATGTACATTCTATGCATGTATTATATGTCAAAATGCATTCTACTGTCATGTATGACTAAAAAAAATAAATAAAAGTTAAAAAAACCCCAATCAATAAATGGGCCAAGGAAATGAACAGACACTTCTCAGAAGAGGATATATAATCAATCAATAAATATATGAAAATATGTTCAACATCTCTAGCAATTAGAGAAATGCAAATCAAAACTACTCTAAGATTTCATTTCACTCCAGTGAGAATGGTAGCTATTAAGAATACAAACAACAGGGCTGGGGATGTGGCTCAGTGGTAGAACGCTCACTTAGCATGAGTGAGGCCTTGGGTTTGATCCTCAGCACCACATATAAATAAATTAATTAAATAAAGATACTATGTCCAACTACAACTAAGAAATAAAGATTTAAGAAATTTTAAAAAATAAGTGTTGGTGAGGATGTGGGGAGAAAGGCACACTCATACATTGCTAGTGGGACTGCCAATTGGTACAAGCAATATGGAAACCGTATGGAGATTCCTTGGAAAACTGGGAATGGATCCACCTTTTGACCCAGTTATCCTAACCTCTATACCCAAAGGACCTAAAAACAGCATACTACAGGGACAGAGCTACATCAATGTTTACTGCAGCACAATTCACAATAGCTAAACTGTGAAACCAACCTAGTTGCCCTTCAGTAGATGAATGGACACAGAAAATATGGTATATATACACAATGGAATAGAAGAACAATAAAAGAGAATAAAATCAAAGCATCTGCCGGTAAATGGATGGCATTGGAGAATATAATGCTAAGTGAAGTTAGCCAAATCCAAAAACCCAATATTGAATGTTTTCTCTGATATAAGGAGCCTGATTCATAGTAGGGTTGGGAGGAGGAACAAGGAAACATTAAAGGAACTCTAGATAGGGCAAAAGAGTGACAGGGGAAGGGAGGGGGTATGGGGGTAGGAAAGATGGTGGAATGAGATGGACATCATTACCCTAAGTAATGAAGACACAAATGGTGCGAATATACTTTGTATACAACTAGAGATATGAAAAATTGTGCTCTATATGTGTAATACAAACTCTAATGCATTCTGCTGCCATATTTAACAAATTAGAATCAAAAATTTAAAAACATTAGTTAATTAGTTAATATTGCAAATACTATGTAGTGCTTATTTATCATAACAAAGTAGTTTACTAGAATAAAAATTGTGGAGGAGGGAAATGACGATATATGTACAGATAATGTCTGCCCATACCATTTCTTAGAAGGGCTTATACGGAACAGTAACAAAATAGAAATGAACATTCTTAGCACTCATATCTTGATTCCTACATGTCATATCCCATAATGAACCAGACATTCAAGGAAAAATAGGTTGCATCAGCAGGTAAGAAAAAAAAAACTGAAACTTTATATTGTTGTGCACAGAAAATTTTAAATGAATATTAATAAGAAAGACTAAGGTCTAGATAAAAAATAAGAACTTATAAGAATACTAAATGAGGCTGGGTTTGTGGCTCAGCAATAGAGCACCCACCTAGTATATGTTAGGCACTGGATTTGATCCTCAGTACCACACAAAATAAATAAATAAAATAAAGGTACTGTGTCCACTAAGTGTGTGTGTGTGTGTGTGTGTGTGTATATATATATATATACACACACACACACACACACACACACAAATGATCAAATTTGGGACAATATCAGTAAATATAAAAATCACATTGATTAGTTTCATCCACAGAATAAAGCAAATTTCCATACTGATATAAACAAGTGGAAGATACAGTATAAAATATAAAATTCCAATTGCAACTGGACTTGGTGGCACTAAGGAGAGATTGATCTTGGACTAGCATTGACTCCCACCCACACTGTTTTTTATTATAGTAAAATACACTTAACTTAATCTTCACTATTTTAATGATTTCTTAACTATAAAGATCAAATGTATTAATTACATTTGCCTATGATCACAAATATTTGAAAAGGTATAGAGAGATGATTGAAAGTTTGAAGCCTGGTTGTATCCTGGTGTTGTATGTATTAAAAATAATAAAGTTTGAAGCCCAGCTTAGGCAATTTAGAGAACTTGTCTCAAAAATCAAATAAAAATTCAAAAAGGGCACCAGGGAAGCAGCATAGTGTTAGAGCAATTGCCTAACATGGACACGGCCCTCTGCTTAATCCCCAGTACCTAAGAACAAACAAACAAACAAAAAAAAAAAAAAAACAATAAAACACAGAACAAATGTTTGATTTTTTTAAAATTACATCTATCACTTAATAACAGTGGCAAGCAAGAAACACCAATGTATAATTAATTTAGTAGATAAAATGTGAAGAATATTTGTAGTATCATCTTTAAAAGGTATTAATTATAAGACAAATAAGCAAAATAACATCACTAGCAACAAGATCAACAATATATGCCCCTTTGGCAATGAAATGATAGAAGCATAAAATCATTTTCATAGCATTTGTTCCAAAAACTAATAAAATCAATCACAAAGATTAGACAAACACAAAAAAGGGGCAGTAATGGGCAGAAATTCTTTAGAATGCTCAAATAATAAAGATCATTAAAATAAAAAAATGGAGAAATGCCCAAAAAGAGGCACAGGACAACTTTATATAATGTAGAAACAAACTTTCAATCACAGACCCATAAAATTTCATTGACACTAACAACACAAATATCAATAAGGTATGTGGATCAGTTAAAATGATATATAAATGACAATATCCTGATTTAGAGAACTAAATAATATAAGAAAGGTAGGGACAAATATAAAATTACTATGTACTGCTACATTAACATATTTTAAATCCAACAATTATTTCAATTTAAAAACCTTTTACAAAAGTTATACAAGTATTTAACTCTTTCCGATCTGAAATTGGTCTCAAAGAGCCATTAAAATAATATAATGCTCTGGAAAAAAAAGGAAAAACTCTTCTTACATGCAAATATTATTTCACAAATTCCATATAAAATTTTAACATGAAGGGAATTATATATTTTACAATAAATTTATTTTATTCTCAAGGTGAAAGAATGTTCAACTAATCAATAATATAAAGGGCAAGTATCAATAGCTGTCCCATAAAATAATTAAATCTTCACTAAATTTTATAAAAACTCACTAGAAGTTATACAAAATGACCAGAAAAAACCTAAACAACCTCAAACCAATAAAATTCATATTAATGGCCAAATAATCAATGGTATAATCTAGTTTTACATACACTAGAATAATTTCCCAGAGTATTTAATCAAGAGTAATAAAAATGATAATACTAAAATGATAAATATTATAACCAGAGATATGAAAAATTGTGCTGTATACATGTAATAAGAATTGTAATGCATTCTACTATCATTTATTTTTTTAATTTTTAAAAACTGAAAATACTATTATAAAAAGATACAAAATGATTTATCAATAATAAATTGGAAAATTGTTCCCAATCACTACAGTTAACAAAAGTTATGAAATATTGTAGGAATGAAAAAATATGTTCAACTGTACTGGCAGTATCCCAATACAATAATTTGATTAGAAACAGAGAGACATACCTTGAAGTTGGATAGGAAGACTCAATTTTAAAGTGATCTATTCTCTAATTAATCTATTAAATTTGGTGCAAATGAAATTAAAACTGCATTTTTTCCAATGTGTAAAATAATTGTAAGCATCAACTGAGAAAAAAATGCAATTATAAACACGGAAAATTCTGAAAAAGAAGAGAAATGAGAACTGAATGGAATAAATGAGACTGTATAAATCATTAGTAAATGAACTGTCAATAGAAGGTGTGGCAAACAAATGAAGCCAAATACAGCTAATTTTATGTAGTAATTTTCTATGATTATGATAGAACTTAAAACAAGTAACAGTAAAAGTCAAGGCAAGAAATTTGAATACTTATTATGCTAACAACATAGCAGTGATTAGTAGACCAAGAAATCAACTGACAAAAATATTTGATGGAAAAATAGGAAGACAATGCAAATAAATGTATGCTACTAATATAAACATGTTTATGAAGAAAAACACAAAACACAGAGGCAATAAAGCAGGATTATATTTCAACACATAATTTGTATACAACCAAAAAATAAAATTATAGCACAGTAAAGAAAATGGAAAAACACACATATGCGTATATATTATATATACATATTTCATTTACAATATATGACATAATGTTAACATAAGTATAAATGAGTTCTTAGTAATCAGTAACAAAAAGACTTATTATAGGGAAGTGAAAATAAAGGAACAAGAATTTGAAATAATACAAATGAATACTAATATAATATGAAGATGATCTAGTTTAACAGAAAAAGAAGGGACTTTCTTTTTAATACACATTATCAATGATCAAGAAAATACTGATATCTAATGTTTACACAGTATTAGAAAATGGGGAATGCTGATTAAACAATGGAAGAACTTACTCCAATTAGGAGGAAATTTACTCAATTGTAGATTTTGGAAATACTTTTCCCCGGCAATTCCAATCCACAGAAAATATTCCAAAGTAGCTGAAAAATTCAAATTTATACATAAGGATGTTTACCAAATAGAGAATACATAGCTAAGATCAACCCATGAAAAAAATACAAATTGTATCAATTTAATAGCAAATAGTATTAGAGTATGAATTAGAAGGAGAAAAAAATTTAATAAACAAAAATATTAGCTTAGCATGGTGGCACATCCCTATAATCCCAGAGAATTGAAGACTGAGGCAGTAGGATTGCCAAGTTCAAAGTCAGCCTCAGAAATACCTTCTGCAACTAAGCAAGACACTGTCTCAAAATAAAAAGGACTGGGGATGAAGCCTAGTGGTAAAGCACCACGGGGTCATTTCTCAGTACCAAAAAAAACCCTGCTTCACAAGATTCTGCATTCTTTAATATTTTAAAGTCATGTTCAAATTTATCCTGTCATAAGTGATAATTATAAATGCATGCACTTTATACTTATGGAAAACTTCTCTGGACACAAATGTTTCTTCCATTGCACTTCCTGAGATAAAGTCCAACAGCAACAATAAAGACAATTAATACAACTAAGTATTAGAATTTTCTGGGCTATATTTTAGGTCTCTTTTCAAAAACAAGTTTTCTGAGTTCAGTTCTTCTGATGAGCAAGGAGTGTCCATTGCAACACACATTAAGTATAAAGTCTTCATTCATTATGCAGAACATATTTTAGTTTTGAGGAAGAAGGTGGTAAAAACAATGGCATGCATTTCTTTCCAGTAATTCCCTGAAAGGACAAATAGAAAAATGGGAAAAGTTTAGGAGCAAACTTAGTATCATCAGAAAGGACTATAAAGTGCAACATTCATTCTATTATCAAAAATTCCTACTGGAATTTATAACAATAAGGAGATCATATATTAGCCTTCTTTTTGTAACTTATTAATATTAACTGATCCTCTGCATATGATATGATGCTCACACTGTCTATTTGGCTGCTTATATCTCAATGTTATCATTTATATACAGAATATTATAAAGAAAAGGTACATGGTCTATACATGTGTTTATACACACAAAAAAATAACAATGTCTAATCAAATATCAGGAAAAAATAACAATATGAAAAATAAAGAGGATGCGGGACACAGTGGCAAATGCCTGTAATCCCAGTGGCTCAGGAAGCTGAGACAGGAGGATCAACAGTTCAAAGCCAGCCTCAACAAAAAGTGAGGCACTAAGCAACTCAGTGAGACCTTGTCCTAAATAAAATACAAAATAGGGCTGATGATGTGGCTCAGTGGTTGAGTGCCTCTGAATTCAATCCCTGATTCCCACCCCCCAAAAAAATATTTCTGTTAAAAAAATGAGAGAGAGGCTTTGATGGAGCTATAAAGAGAACATAACATAAAAATCATGTGGACGTTGTTAAAAAAGGGTTGACCCACAACACAATAGTTGACACCATATAAAACTGTTTCAGGATATTCAACCTCAACACATGCTACTGCAAACTAGTAACATCAAAGAGCCATTAAACTTAGGAAAAACAGGCTATATAAATAAACGTATATCACTAAAGCACCCCATTCCCCACCAAATGGGCAGTCAGTGGCCCTTATAGTCATACCGCCAAGTGAGAGATAGGAGTGAAGAACACATGAATTAAATTACTCCAACAGATCTTTCATTGCTAGTACATATCATTCACAGGATTAAAACCAAGGATGATAGAAGTATTCTTTCTTGAAACTATCATCTGTTAACAAGAAAAACAAAACAATTTAAGCATATCACTCTGAAGAACTGCTAAGGTAGTAGGGTAAGTGAATATTCATGTTTAATATTTTTAGAAATGTCAATTAACAGTTACAAGTACTGTCTTGTTAATCAACCCTACAGCTGAGTTAACTTTAACATAAGTCATGATTCACTACTTCAGTTAGCAATTATGCTGGTTTCCATAAAATTATCTTTTTGTCATAGTACTGTTATTTGCAAAAGCAAATATATTATCAATTTCTTTTTGTTGTTGTTACTTTATGGAATTAGTTATGTTGTTTTTGTTTTGTTTTAATTTTTGTTATGTTGTTTTTGTTTTGTTTTAATTTTTGTTTTGGGGTAGCAGGGATTGAACTCCGGAGCACTCAACCACTGAGCCACATCTCTAGCCCTATTTTGTATTTTATGGAGACAGGGTCTCACTGAGTTGCTTAGTGCCTCACTGAATTGCTGAGGATGGCTTTGAACTCAGGATCCTCCTGCCTCCATCTCCCAAGCCACTGGGATTATAGGCATGAGCTACCACGCCCAGCTCAATTTCTTAATTAAACATTTGGTCACTTACTTTATGGAATTAGTTATGTTGTCATGGTTGCTAATAAGTAAAATAAACAAATGGCACACTGTGTGCACACACATAACACCTTTACTACCTTTTGATCAACTAATTCAGGGGCTGGTGAAGTAATCAGTGGCAGATTGTTTTTCCTAAAATACATAAAGCCCTGAGTTCTATCCCCCCAAACTGCAAAAAATAAAAAAGACAAATCTATTTACCAATCAAAATCCCAATGGCATTCCTTATAGAAATAGAAAAAGCAATCATGAAATTCATCTGGAAAAATAAGAGACCCAGAGTAGGCAAAGCAATCCTTAGCAAAAAGAATGAAGCAGGTGGCATTACTATTCCAGACCTAAAACTATACTACAGAGCAATAGTAACTAAAATAGCATACTATTGGCACCAAAATAGACTTGTAGACAAATGGTACAGAACAGAGGACACAGAGACTAACCTATATAATTACAATTATCTTACATTAGACAAAGGTGCCAAAAATGTACACTGGAGAAAAGATAGTCTCTTCAACAAATCTTGCTGAGAAAACTGAAGTCCACATTTAACAAAATGAAATTAAACCTCTATTTCTCACCATGCACAAACTCAACTCAAAGTGGATCAAGGACACAGGAATTAAACCAGAGACCTTGAACCTAATGGAAGAAAAAGTAGGCCCAAAACTCATCATCATGTCGGATTAGGCCCTACTTTCTTAGTAAAATTCCTGTAGTGCAAAAATTAAACCCAAGAATTAACAAATGGAATGGATTCAAACTAAAAAACTTCTTCTCAGCAAAAGGAACAATCAGTGGGGTGAATAGAGAGCCTACAGAATGGGAGCAAATCTTTACCACTTGCACATAAGATAGATTACTAATCTCCAGGATATATAAAGAAATCAAAAGCCTTAACACCAAAAACACAAATAACCCAATCAATAAATGGGCCAAGGAAATGAACAGACATTTCTTAGAAGAAGATATACAATTAATCAACAAATATATGAAAAATGTTCAACATCTCTAGCAATTAGAGAAATGCAAATCAAAACTACTCTGAAATTTCATCTCACTCCAGTGAGAATGGTAGCTATTAAGAATGCAAACAACAATAAGTGTTGGTGAGGATGTGGGGAGAAAGGTGCACTCATACATTGCTGGTGGGACTGCAAATTGGTGCAGCCAATCCGGAAAGCAGTATGAATATTCCTTGGAAAACGGGGAATGGAACCACCATTTGACCCAGCTATCCCACTTCTCTCGGTTTATACCCAAAGGACTCAGCCATATCAATGTTTATAGCTGCACAATTCACAATAGCTAAATTAGGGATCCAACCTAGATGCCCTTCACTAGATAAATAGATAGGGAAACTTTGGCATATATACACAATGGAACATTACTCAGCATTTAAAGAGAATAAAATCACAGCATTTGCAGGTAAATTGATGAAGTTGGAGAATATAATGCTAAGTGAAGCAAGCCAATCCCCCCAAAACAAAGGCTGAATATTTTCTTTGATATGAAGATGCAGATGCATAATAGCAACTGGGGGGAGTGGGGAGCATGGGAGGAATGGAGGGATAGGGCAATGGGGAAGGAGGGGAAAGGAGGGGCAAAGGGGTAGGAAAGATGGGGGAATGAGATGGACATCATTACCCTAAGTACTTGTATAAGACATGAATGGTGTGAAAATACTTTGTGTACACCCAGTTTCTTGAAAAATTGTGCTCTATATTTATAATATGAAATGAATTGCATTCTGCCATCATGTGTAACAAATCAGAATTAAAAAAAAATTCCACAGGAAAGTGTGTATATCAGAACTAGTTTCCTGAGCTTATTTAATGTCTCACCTGAAAATGGCACCAGAATCTTCTTACCTATGCTTTGCAGTTAAGATGTAAAAATTAAGGACTCCAAAGCAAGATATTCCTGATGATTTCATCAGCTGTACTCAAGTTACCTTCAATATATCTCTCATTGTGAATACCTGAAAAATAAAACATTCAATGAGCAATGGATAGATATGAACCAAGCATAAGAACATATAAATCAGGATAACATCATGTTGATCAGGCATATTCAATCAGCAAACACAATTGCAAAAAACACTTTCTATTTTAGCCAACATGGTTAGCACAAATGCCAAAAATATTCAAATATTTCCCCTGCTAATTTTGTGTGATCTATAAAATACTAAAATCTTATTTGAAATCTTTCAGCACAATGAACCAAAGGAAAAAACAAGCAAACAAACAATCCATTCTTCATTCAAATCAAAATTAAATAAGAAGCCTAGAAACAAGGTTCAGTGGTAAAGCATGTGGTTACATGCTTTTACATCAAATGCAACATCTCTACAATATCTCTAATTAGTCCCTGTAAATATGATCTTGTTATTAAAATTCACTCACTTTACAGAATTTTTAGTTCTATTTTTTACTCATTTGTTTATCAAAATACAACTGCTTGGCACCTACCTATAATTCCATCTTCTTCCTTCTTTTCTTGGATAATCCAATACTATTTATTCTCTTAAATTGCATACTCTTCATAAAATCATTGAAAAAAATCATTCACAAAGGCCTCTGGGAAGACAAAGCTGGATATGACAACCAAATGCTCCAACGATGGTGAGTTGCAAGAATGAAAATACGTACAAACTGTCTCCTTAACACTTCTTTCTTGTTTAGTTGTTCATATTTTAATACCTTTATAAAAACCAAAAGAAGGTAAAAGAAACACTCCTTCTATTCTCATCTCTCTACAGAGGACTGGTAAGTTTTTACCTTATTCTTCCAGACAATTTTTCTATTTCCATTAGACATATTCATTTTAGATTTTTTTCACGTAGCAATTTACAACTGTGGATGCATCTTTTGAATTTTAACTCATATATAAAAATGCCAACAGAATTATAAAATAACATTTTAACAATAGGAAATATTACCTCACTATAAAAATCTCATTTCCAAAATGTTATAAATATTTTATAGTTAACCATTAATACTTCAGCTAGGACAAAGAGGCATAAGCATTCAAATCTATAACAAACAATTATTCAATATCTGTTCAACTCAAAATACTTCAAAACCTACATCAATATTGAAATATTTCTGTGCAAAAGTTACATTGATGTTGAGTAAGCTATAATAAATACAATCTTTCTTTCACTGGTTGATATTTCAGTTGTTTACATTATGTTTTTAAAGTAAACACATAATACTTTCCTCCTAGCAAATGTTTAAGTATTCCAACATTTGGAATTGGCTATTCCAATAGCCAATTATTACATTTAAAATATTTTATACCCACAGAATTTGATGATCTATACCAAATTCTATTCAAAAAATGAGGATTTATACTTTGATCAACACCAGAATTTTTATTTAAAAAAATCCTTCTTTATGTAACAGGTAACACATGACTTGTCTTTGATTATCACATACATGAATTATATATAGGTCACAAGAAAATTTCAAAAATAATATCAGAAAAACCAAACTATTCATAATTATTGTTGTTTTGTTCTCACAGGGATATACAAACATGGAAACAGATTTGGAATTCAAAGTAATAGAGCTTAGTATTACTATAAAATTATAGTTAGAAATAATAATAAATTGGATTCTAGAAATATGTTCAAGCTTAAAAAATAAAAGTTTCATCATTTGTAAAATAAAAAGGCCTGGGGATATAGCGTAGTGGCAGAGCACAAGCCTATATCATTCATGAGTCTCTCGGAACAATCCCAAGCAAAAATATAAAAATTAAAGTAAAATAAAATATAAATCATTAAACAAACAAATGAGAAAAGCTGGAATGAGAAATATCCCAACTATTTAACTAAAACATGATTTTAAATGCATGTACATGCAAGTAAATTTGCAGAGAATAAATACAGCCAGGTAACAATAATTGTACCAATCTTTTTAACTCTCTGTCTCTTTTTTAAAATGGGAATTTCCTTCTCATATCTTCTACTTGGTACCTGAGGTCAAACTGTATGCCAGGGTAATTGTTTAAATATATAATGCACACAAACAGCAATGATCCTGATCAGTGAGGAGATACAGACAATTTAACTATTGCTCTCTCACAAAACAGCAAAATGTTTGTCTTTATATTAATTAACCAATGGACTGTAAAAGCATTTACAGCAATCAATTTAACTATGGAGTTTTACAATGAAATATTTACAAATTTATACTTTCTTGAGACCCAGAGCACCTGGCAAAACTAGTTATTTTCAAATGACAAGGGTAACTGGTATTTACAAAGTTGTCTTGAATTTTGTCATGCAGTCCAAAAACATATAATACTATATTAAGTCAAAGAGGTAGAAGGAAATTTTTCTTATAAAAGGCATTTTCTACAATGATTATAAAAATACTATTAAAATGTAGCAAATACAACTACAAACTTATGAAGTTTTAAGTATATAATACAAGCAAATAACTATGGTTAAAATGTATTTTTTTTCTTTTGATGGAAACTCAAAAGCTTAAAATACACATATTTTAACCTTTTCCTTCCCATAACTCAATAAACAGATATTTAATAAAACCCACAACTTTATTTCATTAGCAAAAAATTTCAAAAAAACAATCAAATCATGAAATTTTACAATGACTTATTTACAAAATTATACTTTGTGAGACTCTATACATCTAGAAGGACAACTAGATGTTGAAAATTAAAATTTTGGCTTTACCATTATTTACAAAGTTGTCTTGAATATTGTCATGCAACCAAGGGAACACATACAGAACATTGTATAGTTCCAAGAGGTAGTACAAACTCTCTTTAATCATTTATATCTTGAATATTGACAGCAAAGGAGAAAAAAGATATAAGGAAGCTTGGAACATCCAGAAAAGACGACTGGATTTAACTGTTATTTCATCTGAGTATTTTTAAATATGCAATTCATACATGGCAAACTGTAGACTTCCATGGAAATGGAGTTAATTGCATAGTGTCTTCCTATTTTCTTATTTTCTCCTTCTAACATCTATATTAATATATGATAAATTTTTCTAGCTCTAAGAGCTACTTATGAATAACCAATTTAACTGCCACATTAACCAAAAATGACCATAGCACTACTAATTTTATGGATTTACAAAATTTATACTTGTGAGACGCTAGAAATACATGTTTGAAATAAAAAAAAAATATTTCCCCATTATTTATAAAGTTGTGGGTTTTTTTGCCATGTAGTAAAAAAAAGAACCACATAATTTAGAAATTCTATAAAACATGTAAAAAGAAAGAATTGCATCACGAACGTAAGTTTAGCAAAATAAGACATGTCTACTTATCTGTTACATAGACACATTGTATTTACATTAAATGGACACCCTGGAATGATAATCTAATTTTACTTGTAAATGTGGTAAAATACCACTATCTTCTCTAACATGACAATATATGTACTAATAACATGAAAGCACAGAAGCTTTTGTCAATGTAATGTACAAGTAATTTGTACAGTCACAGAAATATATTCACGTTTTTCCAAAAGGTAAAAATAATACTTTACCATTAAAAGAAAAATATTTCTTATTTTTCTAATTCTCATCAACTCACATGCATCTAACTAAAAAAGCTGAAATATTATAAAGCAACTATTACAGATGTTTAATAAACACCCCCAAAGCTAACCACCTAATGCTGTTAAAATCATTTATAATTATTTATATTTCAACTAGTTAAACAGTTTAACAAAGTAATGGTTGCAATATATAAATGTTCACCATCTCTACCAAAACAAAAACAGAAGTAAGCAAAAGGATTGTACATGTACATGAAACTGTGATCATAAAAAAATCCATCCTTTCCACATACCTTCCAACAATAAATTTTAATGTGTACAAAATTACATGGCTGTATTAATTTAAAAAGGTTATTTTCCAAAATGTACATGCATCAGCAATGCCATTCTGTGGGAAAATGTTCAAAACATATAAATGTATACTTTTTGTATATACTCTCACATCCACATACTACACATTCATGCGTGCACACACATGAACACACAGATGTGATTCTGACATTTAGTTAATTCTAGCTCAACACAGTGTGTTCATGCCTCCTCACAGACAAAAAGGCAAAAAAAAGTTAAGAGCAAAGGTAATGAATCATTTTACAAAATGACTCTAATCACAAATAATGATTCGTAACACAGAAATATGGATTGATTAATTGCAAGAAGGATTTCAGAAGTCATACATTTCTTGAAACATGTTTTAAAACGTACTAACTATATATACATATCTGTGTAAAAATTCTACTAAATAGAGGCTTGGGTTTTTGCATTTTGTTAATTGCATTTCAATTAACAAAAAAACACTTTCTGTCCTATAATTTATTTTATTTTTTTATTTATCCTATTTATTTTATGCAAAATATATTCACAAAATGTGACAGAAAATTCTCCACATCTACAAATGTAAACAACATGTGAACATGTACATAACAACTGAAAACAAAAAAAAATGTAAACCAAAACTTGCATATATACCATGTATATATGACATGAATATATGTGTGTATCACTCATATCCATAACAGGTAGATATATAGTTATATATGCTACATATATTATAAGAACATTTCCTATCATATACCAAAATCTAAAAATTGAGGGCAATGATCCAATGACTCTTTCAATCTTTTCACATGGAAGTCATATAAAAACCATCTCTGAACATAGGCCCAGCTGCTAAAACTCCATCCTTATATACTAAATCCATATCTTAAATTTGCTAAATTTAAAGTAGTTTAGCAATCCCTCTAAGCAATAAACAGAATCATAATCATTCCTCAAATGCAAAGTATCAGACATTTTTCTTATTAGAAATATTCCCTAACAGTTTTGAGTGGCATACACATACCTCTGTCATACAAAGCCCACCTGGTTGTCAATGTTAGTGTTCATAAAGGTTGATCTCTTCTGCAACTTCATCATGAAAAGGAAAGCTCATATCATAGACATTTAACAGTGAGACATTTGCAAAACATAGATATACCCATGAGTTCTACACATATAGCAGCCTTAACAAAATTCCAGGGGCTGGAGTTGTAGCTCATGGGACAGGAGTTATAGCTCAGCAGTAGAGCACTTGCCTCATATGTGTGAGGCACTGGGTTTGATCCCCAGCACTACATATAAGTAAGGAAATAAAATAAAGGTCCATCAACAACTAATAAATAAATAAATAAATAAATAAGCAGATAAATAGAGTTCTGCATTTAACAGTTCTGTGCATGTAGTATTCCTGGGAAAAGAATACTAAATTCTTAATACCAAAGTCTAATCAAAGGAATTCAATTTACATCATTCAAAGGTAGTCTTTTCTTTAGTCATCTTTCTATATAGTTCAAACTCATGGCTAACAATCTCTATATTTAACCAAGAAAATGTCAGAAAACAGTTACATTGAGACGCTGCATAGAGTGAATTCTCAAATGTACTTTAAAAATGCTTCTAATTGATATATAAAGCATTTTTAATCTCCTTCTTTATTACTCTTAAAACACTGAAAAAAATGAACATAAAATTTATTCCATACTAAAACATTTAAGACTATATTTACCAAATGTGTTTTTGGAAATTTCCCCTAGGAAAACAGCTATTTTATCAAAGAAACCATTTTTAAAACATCCTAATAAACTCATTAACAATCAATGTGCTTGTGTTCCTCTA